TATAATCAGATTAAGTATTGGGTATTCTATTTTAATTTAATGCAAGGAATTGAATAAACAATCAATACATTTTTTATGCTTTTCATCAGACCAAAAAGGAAAGTTAGACGTAGGAGCCCTGCGCTGTTTACATTTCAAGTTCAAGTGACGCAAAAAACCATGCTCAACTTTTTTGACACGCACTCGCTCGCCGTAGAAGTTTACTGCTGGACGCACCACACATAATTATACACCTAAAACCATATTGTTGGTTGCAAATGATTTTTTAGCTTAACATTATATGTAACACGTATGCGTGTATGTATGTATGTATGTATGTATGTATGTATATATGTATGTATGTGAGCGCGTGTTCTTACAATAAGTTAAGTATGGTTTAGACCTTTGGTTTTTGCATCATTTGAAATGTACGCAGCGCTCCATTATCCTTTCTTTGTTGGCCGAGTTATATATACATATTTCGAACATAATAATACTGTTGCTAAATACAATTTTAAATTATTTAATAGTATACTATTCATTTTCAACGGAAACCGTCGAAAGAAATATTCAAAAACTTTTGTTTTGTTTTGTTTTCTTTATTAAGCAGGCTGTACTATTTATACTTTTTAATAGCTGTTACTCGGCACCGCGGCGTGTTGCTGCCGCAGATGAAATAGTTGTAGAAATATCGTTTTAAATTCATATTGTTTACTCAGGAATGCTAATACAATCATTAAAATTGAGTGATCTATAACTTTCGAATAAATTGTCGGTACGATATGCGCGCCACCTAGACCAAGTTAAATGTACTATGCCTATAACCTTAGCGCAAGTGTAAACAATAAGTTGACAAAGTATTATCTCGATCAGATGAACGGTGCGGCAGCGCATAAAATACGGACAAAACCAAACATTAATTTTTATATATAGATATACATTTTCCTGCATTTATATATTTTCACAAAATAAATAATAGTTGGTATTTTAAGCAACTGCATGTGACACCTACCTATTTATTACCTACAGCATTTTAAACGAAATAATTCACGTTCCAGAAGCAAACGACGAAACTACATTTTTTTAAACGTTTACCAGCATATCGTTTGACCACATTATATTATATCGGTTATCGATAATAAGAGCGTGGATCGACAATAAGGGAATGCCCGAGGGAAACTTTTACTTCCCAGTGTTACAGCTGACATAATATTTATAAGATATTATATTATGACTTACCCGCCCGATATTATGTACTTATCTACTTATAGACAATATTAATAATAAATATATACGAATATAACAGAAATAGGCCTAAAAACTAACGCGACCTTGGCATAAGTTAGATTTTAAAAAAAATAGTGATACCTACCATGGTTAGCGGCAAAATAATGCGAATATTGTTTCACTTTTTTCAAATTGCATTGTGATGATGATTTGCTCTTTTAGCGATATAAAAGTGGATTCATTTATTTGGATTTTTAGTTTCGATAAGTTTAGGTACTAATAAAAAAACTGAATCTATACTGGAATTTCAAATTTAATCATTGTCGACTGTTGTTGTCATAATTTTATGAAATTACAGTTACAGGGTTCTGATAATAGGGGTAATAGAATACACCTAGTTGTTACGAATCGATGTGAATGTCGATGGTCTTTTCTCTACACTGTTTGCCACAACTTTTTCTGCCACCAGGGTGGCGCCGCTTAAAAGTGAGGGGTAAATATTTGACAGATTACATAGCGGGGAAGTTAATATGTTCGAAAAATGTAAATATTTATGTTTCTTTCTGTAATATTAGGTAATGTTTTATATTAATTAGATGGAAAATAAATTAATCAAACCACAGATAGTATATTTTTAAAAAAAAAAAGAAGTTAAAAATTTTCAAAAAAATTAAAGAGCAAACCACTGGGGCTCTGTTTAGTGTAATAATATAATACTCTAGAAATTTTATTTAAAACTAACTTCTCAATTAAATAACATTGTGTAAACAAAAAACTAGCGACACCTGGTGAGTGACAATCTAGAAGATTATTAGCCCTATTGTGATTACATCACATCATAACAATGACGCTGACATCCGATTACGATACCTTAACCTCATAGTCAATAGTAATTTCATTACAAGTAAGGTGGCGGTGGTGGTGGTGTACATTTCGACAAGAGAGAACTCAAACTGTGAACTCAAAGATAGTAGAATAGAGCAAACGACGACTTGACTGGACATACTCAGTTTTTATAGTTTCCTGAATTATCCTTTTTGAACCCAATTAGAATCGGCTTCATGTTTCTTTATAATATGTGGGCCGATCCCGGCGGCACTGCAATGCCGGGCCGACCCGTGACGGGAGTGGAGCGAGCCCCGAACATCCCGTCGATTTTCAAAAATCAGTTTAATATACTGGTCCCGCAGTGCGGGAACTTTCAGATATTAAGCTGAAAAGAACAGATACTACACTTTGATCTTAGCCAAAAGGCCGAGAAGCGATGCCGTACCATGCGCGTCTCAGGTCTCTTATTCACTCCGAAATAATCACAACATCGCGTTTTAGCAATACAGGAACTAGCGTACAACGCAATCTATCGCACCTTCAACGCGACACAACTGTCATAATACTTACAAAAATTCTATGTACACGAACAACACAATATCAATAATATACCTACCATTGTACTTATATTCTTATTTTATATTTTAATCTTGATCCCATTTGAAGTTAAAGCGTAGGTAACTTTCATTTCAAACATAGTATTGCCGGTGCTACGTTGTTACATTATTTAATTAGTCTATTACCACCCATTACTACCTATGTCGTTATTTTTATAATCAGATTAAGTATTGGGTATTCTATTTTAATTTAATGCAAGGAATTGAATAAACAATCAATACATTTTTTATGCTTTTCATCAGACCAAAAAGGAAAGTTAGACGGAGGAGCCCTGCGCTGTTTACATTTCAAGTTCAAGTGACGCAAAAACCATGCTCAACTTTTTGACACGCACTCGCTCGCCGTAGAAGTTTACTGCTGGACGCACCACACATAATTATACACCTAAAACCATATTGTTAGTTGCAAATGATTTTTAGCTTAACATTATATGTAACACGTATGCGTGTATGTATGTATGTATGTATGTATGTATATATGTATGTATGTGAGCGCGTGTTCTTACAATAAGTTAAGTATGGTTTAGACCTTTGGTTTTTGCATCATTTGAAATGTACGCAGCGCTCCATTATCCTTTCTTTGTTGGCCGAGTTATATATACATATTTCGAACATAATAATACTGTTGCTAAATACAATTTTAAATTATTTAATAGTATACTATTCATTTTCAACGGAAACCGTCGAAAAAATATTCAAAAACTTTTGTTTTGTTTTGTTTTCTTTATTAAGCAGGCTGTACTATTTATACTTTTTAATAGCTGTTACTCGGCACCGCGGCGTGTTGCTGCCGCAGATGAAATAGTTGTAGAAATATCGTTTTAAATTTATATTGTTTACTCAGGAATGCTAATACAATCATTAAAATTGAGTGATCTATAACTTTCGAATAAATTGTCGGTACGATATGCGCGCCACCTAGACCAAGTTAAATGTACTATGCCTATAACCTTAGCGCAAGTGTAAACAATAAGTTGACAAAGTATTATCTCGATCAGATGAACGGTGCGGCAGCGCATAAAATACGGACAAAACAAACATTAATTTTTATATATAGATATACATTTTACTGCATTTATATATTTTCACAGAATAAATAATAGTTGGTATTTTAAGCAACTGCATGTGACACCTACCTATTTATTACCTACAGCATTTTAAACGAAATAATTCATGTTCCAGAAGCAAACGACGAAACTACATTTTTTTAAACGTTTACCAGCATATCGTTTGACCACATTATATTATATCGGTTATCGATAATAAGAGCGTGGATCGACAATAAGGGAATGCCCGAGGGAAACTTTTACTTCCCAGTGTTACAGCTGACATAATATTTATAAGATATTATATTATGACTTACCCGCCCGATATTATGTACTTATCTACTTATAGACAATATTAATAATAAATATAAAAAACTAACGCGACCTTGGCATAAGTTAGATTTAAAAAGAATAGTGATACCATAGGTAGCGGCAAAATAATGCGAATATTGTTTCACTTTTTCAAATTGCATTGTGATGATGATTTGCTGTTTTAGCGATATAAAAGTGGATTCATTTATTTGGATTGTTACTTTCGATAAGTATAGGTACTAATAAAAAACAGAATCTATACTGGAATTTCAAATTTTATCGTTGTCGACTGTTGTTGTCATAATTTTATGAAATTACAGTTACAGGGTTCTGATGTGACGACTCGGGCCCGGCTTGCGTCCGTCGAAAGGGGCGAACTAGTAGTCCTATGGTGTGTGTGGTGTGTGTGCGTTTGGCGGGTCTGCGTCGCGATAGCAACGGGTAACGAAAATAACTTTTTCAGTAGTCGCCTATACAACACGTAATATAATTAACGCACTTTGAGAAAGTAGTTTGTTCAGAATCGTTTAGTGAATCGATTCCTATCATTTTTAATAATATATAAAACTACGTAAATTACAGTTACACTAAATATGTACAGTCAAAACAAACTGCAATGGACCGTAACTTAAGGCAATAAGACTTTTAGGAGTTAGTTTAGTTTTATTTGTATTATTACTAATTCTGTCATTCAATAAAAATAAAGAAAAATGAACTTTATTTCAAGCACGTTAAAGTCTTTGCGTTCATGGATTTGAACTGTGAACACAACATTCTTCAGGAATTAGTATAACTAATTTGATAAATAATCAGTGCATAAAAATGTTTAACTAAAAATTCAGTGTATGTATTATGATTATAACATAATATACTAATTGGGGTGTCTGAGGGTGTGCGTTAATTACGTTACACATTGTGTACTATATACTATAATCAATATGTAGTGCACAGTATATAGGTGTGGCCGTGGTGTAATATGTAATGTTAGATGTTAGACGCTGGCGCGCTCGACGAGGTCGGGAGCCATCGCCAGCCGCTCGCGCTCGCCCGCCAGCAGCGCCCCGCCGTCACACGGCTTGTTGCCGAGGCAGCTGCACGAGCACACCTGCGCAACACACGACACAATGGCTGCTTTTGGCAGAAAAAAGCGCTAGCAAGCGCTTGTAAGCTACGAGGGTGGATTGAAAAGTACTCGGCCTAACCAAGAAAATAAACACATACTAAATCAGTTATATTTTTATTTTTCTACATAATCACCATCAAGTTCAATACACTTTTGCCACCTCCCCTTCCAAGCATTTAGACCGTTGAAAAAAAAATGATTCTTCCTTAGAGTCAAAATATGCGTCTACAGCTGCTTTGACCTCGTCGTTTGTCGAAAATCTTTGACCTCCCAAGTGCTTTTTTAGGTTAGGGAACAGAAAGAAGTCTGATGGTGCCAGATCAGGTGAATACGGCGGATGCGGTAACAGTTCAAAGTCACAGTTGTGAATTTCAGCCATTGAATGTACTGGCGTGTGAACACGGGCGTTATCTTGATGAAACAGGACTTTTCTTCTGAGCATTCCTCGACGTTTTTCTTTTATTTCCTCTCGTAAACGACGTAGTAAGGTGCAGTAGTAATCAGAGTTTATAGTCTGACCCCTTTCAAGATAATCAATCATAATCACACCTTTCGAGTCCCAGAATACTGAAGCCATCACCTTATTTGCCGACAAAATCGACTTAGCCTTTTTTAGGGGGTGTGAACCAGGTCTTCTCCACTGTTTTGATTGTTGTTTTGTTTCCGGTGTACAGTAATGAACCCATATTTCGTCCATAGTAACAAAACGATTAAAAAAATCATCTGCATCGGCTTCAAATAACTCCAAACAGTCGCGTGAAATAGTCAATCGCGTCCTTTTTTGTTCAATTGAAAGCAGTCGCGGAACCCACCTCGCAGACACCTTGTGGAAACCCAACTCGTTGACAATGATGTTTTGATTTCGTTCATAAGAGATGCCTATAATCTCGGCTATCTCTCTAATTTTTAATCTGCGGTCTCCCATTATTAAATCAAGTACTTTTTTAATATTTTCGTCAGTAGTTGACGTCGAAGGCCTTCCAGAGGGGGGTTCATCTTTCACACTCTCTCTACCACGCTTAATTTCTGCTATCCATTTTTTGACGGATGAATATGACAGAGCACAATCGCCTAATGTACTGACCATGTCATCATGGATGGCTTTTGATGATAGCCCCTTCTTATGGAGGTACTTAATGACGGCACGCTGCTCGATTTGCTCCATTCGATTACTTTGTTAATAAATTTATAAAATCACAACTAATTATCGCACACGTTTCGAACTTCACACAATGAACTAGTCTGAACTGAACTAAATAATGTGGGTAGATTTGATTTTTAGAATTGAATGGATCTGTGTTATGCCGAGTACTTTTCAATCCACCCTCGTAAATGCCTATCGTAAGCGGTAAGCGCTGTCAAATCGTAAGTAGCTATTTTCCTCTAGGACACGAAGTTAGTTTTAACCGGGGAACCTAACCTAATTTAAATATATGTTTGTAAAGTATTCATATTAAAAACTTACAAATCATGAATTTTTAATAACATGTATAATATGTTTATTCATGTCATTATATTACTTGAAACTAATATAGCACAAAACAACTTATAAACTCTACTTCAAAATAAACAAATTAAATAAGCAAAATGGCGGATTGTGTCAGCTCTACTGAAGTTAGCAAACGTGTCCTGGCCGAAAACTGTTTAGTTTCGCCATTTTGCTTACAAGCGCTAGCTAGCGCTTTTTTCTGCCAAACGCAGCCAATATATAGCTGCTGTCTTATCTCACGAAGCGAGCAGCATCACTTACATCACATCACATTGTGTGCGCATAGTTACACAATCATGAGCGTCTCTATACATTAAGATAACGTTTCGCAATAATAAATAGCTATTGTAGAAAAGTATAGTGGAGAAGAAACACATGTTTATATTTGCAAATGTAATAATAGCCAGTCCATCGTAATTAAACAAAATAATATTATTACCATTGACTCTCAAGCTCATGCATATTATAAACCAGGAACTATCGAACCAAGGAAAATTGTAACTATAGTCAACCAAATCTAAGAAATACCTTTTGACGTTTCACATTAATCATTCCGCAATAACTTTGCACAAGCGTACTCACATGATTTAAAAAAAAACCTTTTACATAAATCCGAAGAATTATGAAGTTTCTATATTTCATTACATAGTGTATAGTTTTTTTATCACTTTAAAGTATCAGTTTTGTTATAGTTATAGTTATCAGTTTAAATTGGAATCTTTCAAACAAAGCAAAATATTAAAAAATAACCAGTATCAACTTTTTTTACTTGACGTCGTTTCAATGATATGTCGCTATGTACCTTACCGTAGTGTTTGAATGATAAAAATTCATTGTTATGTAATATTAAAATAATCGAATCATTAATTTTTTAATGTATTATTTGTTTAATTAATTTTTTATTATTAAAATATATATATATATATATATATATATATATATATATATATTATATATATATATATATATATATATATATATATATATATAACCCAAACCTATTAATTATAAAACATTGTTTTAAAATATTTATACAACCGACCTCAACTTAGATAAAACGAGAACATCATCAATGTAGTGAAAGTCAATTAAAATACGCATTATTAAGAATAGCGCAATAACTACTGGTCAGATCTTGATCAAATTTATATGGGACCTCGTGATAAGCAACAGCTTTCAAATAAAATAAGTAATGATTTAAAGTTTATCAAAACAGAATGCCCTTATTTTCTTAGTTAATTTCAAAAATAAAGGAATTACTTACAGATGCCTGATCGTCGTGCGAGCGTTGACGCGCTGCAATAGGATGTGCATCAATAGGCAATATAGTTCTAGCAGCTTCTTTTTCTTCGTCACGAGCATTTTCTTCAGCTTGCCTGGAAAAATATTATACAAAAAATTTACTGTGTTGCAAAATCAAAAAACAATAATTAATATTTTTCATTAAGTATTCAATATTTCGTTCATAAATCTCGACATATTATGTACTCATACTCTATAAGATACGTAAATATAGAATACTATAATACATATTATATAATAGAACGGGCGGAGTTAGTGTAGCCACTAAAATGTCACTAACATGTTAACTCACACGTATAACTGTCAACACGAGATGTGTTTTGACGTTACAATCGTTTCCAAATTTCGCATGTAAATTATTTAGAAAATGCCAAATTGCACGCTATTTACAAATAAATATGTATTAAAATTTAAACGATTTTTTTACTGATGATCTTGAACATTAATCAAAAGTCTAAAATGTTTAAATTTACTCAGTCTATCAACACAGCGAATCGGGTTTGTAGTAGTGATAATACGACGTAATTGCTTGTATGTGTGCTCCCGGCAACGCCGAACAAAATAAGGTTGACAGCCATTCTATTATGTATTATAGTAAATATCAAAGTAGAGGTTACAGCCTATATACGTCCCACTGCTGGGCACAGGCCTCCCCCTCATTTCTGAGAGGGTTTTAGGGCAGGGAAGTGTCCGCCGCGCTGCCCCAATGCGTGTTGGCGAACTTCACATGTCTTCGAAATATTTTTTTCTTATTTCTCAGACATGCAGGTTTCCTCACGATGTTTTCCTTCACCGCCGAGCACGTGGTACATCAGCACTTAAAATTGCAATTAACAATTTCATTGGTGCCGGCGGGGATCGAACCCGGGTTACTCGCGAAGTTATATTTACAGGGAGCGTTAACCATCTGAGCTACCACGGCTCTCATGTATTATTGTATGTATGTATTATAGTATTCTATGGTAAATATCAAAGTAGCGATGGTTAACTAGATAAAATTGCAGTAGCCTAGCTAGCCGGTTTTTTGTGGTGAAACCAGGTAGATAACCCGCTATTCAGCTATTTGGCTATTTGGATAAATGCTGACCAACATATAATTTATATCGTTAGCGTAGCAACTGTAGCTGGGACTTGAATAACGCTCAATTGCCCCGAGATTGATTACGTTCGAATCTCGCCGCGGAACATGTTTATAATTATATAAATAAAAAATAATTATTTATTAATAATTTCCCTCATAACTATGTCGTGCGTATTATTAAATTAATTTAATAAAAACTGTCGAAAATCTATCTATATTTTACAGTGTCATCTATATCTAGTAGACATGGGCGTTTTTGGATTTGAACGCAAACCGATATTTTTCCGATTTCAGATTTCAAAATCAGTTTTAAAAATCCGATGTCAGTATCGCTTAGCCACGCCAATTCGTTTGCATACTTAGATTTCGTTTTATAAGTTAAAAAAACGACAAACGCAAATCTAATACAGAAACAGATTTGCGAGATTATGCAACATGCTTTAATCTAGGCTTAGGACTAGCAGAAAAATTTTGTATGAAATTAGAACTTTTCCGGCGCATTTAATAATCGGTATATTTACAATGATTTCTTATTATATTTTTTTTGGTTTCTTTTCGCTTTTTTATTTTTTTTATTTTTTATTTCAGAATCTGTTTGGATTAAGATTTGCGTTTAAAAACGCAATTTGCTCCACTTTTGACGACTTTAGACGACACCTCTTTTCATTTATTATTAATCCCGTCTTTGAAAAAATTCGTTCGCACGGAACGGATGGTCGCGACAATATTGCATTTTGAGCGATATATTTCCGACAAATGCGGATAAATTATTTTATGATCAATAACTTACTCACTTAAAACGTACACTCACACACAATTCACTCCTGATTTTTAAACATTTTTATAAACTTTTTTCATATATTTACTAAACAAAAAGGTATTATAAGGCAATAAATATCAGTAAATAATATAATACAATACACTGTTACGACTGACAGGCATGCGAGCAATTGTCACCAGGATTAAATTTACGTCTAAAGTCTAAAACATAACTTCATGAAAACAAAAAAATATTATAAGTAAGCAAACACTTAACTAAAAACAAAAATAATCGTCACACAATCTCGCAAATATAGCCTTAAATGACTTAAAAATAAGAATGATATTGATCGCACACTGAACCAAAAATTCAGCAACGCATAATCTCGCAAAGCCAATATAGACTTTACGTACTAAGCAGTAAGGATAATATTGATCCCATATCTCAATGTGTAATAGATTTCGATATTCCATAGCTGACAAACCGAAATCTGAATCTTCACGTCATCGAGAGAGACACTGAAAAATCGGATTTGGGTTTCTACGCAACAGTTTGCGTTTAGATTTGGATACTGTCGATTTTATTTTCGATTTGGATTGGTTTGGTTGTACAGATCGTAAGAGTTTAGCTAGTTAGGTCGATTTTTGAAATCGTATTTTCAAATTTGAGCAATCTATTAACAATCTTTATTAAAGGAAATAGAAAAGCCATATATGTATGTTAGTAAAATTGAAGTGAAATGAAATATAACTTTTATGAATTTTAGTGTTAGTAATCAATTTAATTTAAATAAATATAATAAACACAAATATAAATGAAGATTTTGAGATATCTGCTAAGAGGGCACCGGCGTTTTATACCTTGGCATGAAGCCGTATCCAGTGCTGAAGCAGTGTCGAGTCCCATCTATCTGCCATTATGTTAAGAATGCTATTGGAGCTGCCCCGCAAACGCTTCAGCATCGATGAAACACGCTTTCTAATAATGGCGTGGAAACCATCAGTGTGCATTTCAGTAAACATTCCTGACGCACTACAAAAGCGAGGCAGCCCCATCAGCATCCTAAACCCATTATTATACTGGACACGCAACGCGCTGTACACCCGCTGCGTATAGTTAACCCATAGGTTGCCCGTGTAAAAAGACTGGCAGTAGGCTTTGAAAATAGTAATCTTTACCCGCCTACTGCAACGAGCAAACATTAGGGCCACCATGTTACATCGGATGGACAGCGCCCTGCGTTTCCGCTCGATATCCATATCATCACGCAGATTCTCAGTGACCCAGATACTTAAAATGTGAGACACGCTTTAGAGGTGAGTTGTTGAGTGTGAAGGTAGTCGCAATTGGTCGGGATTTGACTCCTGCCTTGAACACCATGAATTCACTCGTTTTCACGTTGTATCGGAGTCCATGGGACACTGCAAACGCTTCACAGACTTTTAATAGTTTTTGCATGGCACCAATCGAAGGGCTGAGCAGCACCATGTCGTCTGCGTAACTTATATTATTGATACACATACACCATCAATATGACAGCCTACATTTATTCCGCTGAGCTCGTTGATCAGGCCATTAATGTACATATTGAAGAGCCTAGGAGATGTAAGACCACCTTGCCTCACCCCACATTCAAGTCTATATACATCAGAGTATGAGCTCGCCCATCTAACACAGTTGCTCTGCCGCTCATACCACGATCGTAGCACCGCAACTAACTCGTGCGGCACATCAGTCTCATTTTGAATTTTAAACATAATATGTCATATAACACCAAATCGAAGGCCTTGGACAGGTCAAGAAAACAGGTAAAAACTGGAGTGCTCCTATCAGTGTAGTATTTGACAGTTTGCTTGAGACACAAGATAGCGCTTTCGGTGGACAAACCTGGTTGAAAACCAAATTGCGCATCATTAAATTTTAAATAACCACTTAAGTGTTGATCAAGCAAACTGTCCAGCACCTTTGCCACCACAGTAGCCAGTGAGATTGGTCTGTAATTTGTCAAGTCCGATGGATCCCCCGACTTGTTCTTAATAACAGGCACAACAATGGTTCGCATAAGGTCATCAGGCAGGTAAGAGTGGCTGAGACAGAGGTTATATAACAAAGATAAGACCCTTGGTAGATGGATTCCAAAGAGGCGAGTTCACCCCAAGTGATCTTGGAAGGCCTTAGCTATCTCACTGTGGCCAAAGCAACAGTGGTGGGGTAAAGAAATAGGCAGGAAACGTAAGAAGGTAAGAAAAGCCCTAAATAGGGCAATGAATACCTCAAAGGATGAAGACTGGCTTCTATATAAGAAAGCTAAGTCTGAATACAAAAAATGTATCAGGTATCGACGCTCAACAGGGTGGCGCAAATTCTGTGGTAGCATAGAAGCCTGTGAACAAGCAAATCGGATAAGGAAAATCCTAGCTAAACAGAACACGCCGGGATCTATCTCTTTAAAGAAATCCGACGGAAGCTACTCAAGCAATAACATCGCCGGATGAAATCCAACGCATCCTAATTGATACTCACTTCCCAGGTTGCTGTGTAGTTGAAAGGGTGAACCGGCATGGGCGGCGGCAAGATGTTGACACCAACAAAAGAAGACTGGGAATTAGCACAAAGAGTGGTGACGATGGACAAAATCCATTGGGCCATTCATAGTTTCCAACCCTATAAGGCAGCAGGACCGGAGGCGGGGTTGGGCTTCGCAGGAAAGGAGAAGATCCGCCTCTGGGGGGGTGGGGTGTTCTTTAATATCTGACGGCTTATTCCCGGCACTTCTTCAGTGGGGGGGGGTAAAGTCCTAAGAGTCAGACTTGTTGCCACAATGAGAGCATGTCTGGCTCTTAAATATGTTCCTAGGGGATGGAGGGAAGTGATAGTCACGTTCATACCCAAACCAGGTAAGAAAGACTATACAGACCCTAAATCCTACAGACCTATTAGCCTCACATCCTTTCTCCTAAAGACGAGGGAGAGGATGTGTGAACGGGAGTTGAGAGGGTCTGCGCTAATTAACTTACCGCTACACGAAAAACAACACGCCTATAGCTTAGGTAAATCAACAGAATCGGCACTTCACCAGGTAATAACAAAGATTGAAGAGGCCATCCAAAAAAAGCAATATGTCTAGGCTCCTTCATAGACATAGAAGGTACTTTTGACAGAACAAATTTCTCCAGCATAAAAGGTGCCCTAAGTAGACATAATGTTGAACCGGCACTGATTAACTGGATAGT